TAGTCCAGGCACCCAATCCTCTGGAAGGATCCCCCGCAGAGCCCGGCAACCCTGGCAGCCCGCCGACGCAGCCAAACCACCATTTACACGTGGTCTCACCAGCGCGCTGCGAACAGCCTCGTAGAAGAGCGGATTCTACCTGACGCGTGCAGCTTCCTTAGCAATAACGCACTGCGATGCGCCCTGCAGACCCGGCATGAATGGGAAGGCACGCCCATCGAAGTCACCCGCAAGCAAAACATGTAGGCACGTCTCCAAAGCACGTTCCACAGACTGGAGTCTTCTGCATTGGCAGCCATTATTCGGATGGGAAAAGATCGGCCGCGCAAGAGGTCCGCACCGCCACTGACTGGCCGGCAGCGGCACCGCAACACAACCCGCCCGCCCGCGCCCCCAGACAGCCCTTAAACGCCTCGGCGCCACAGAGCACGCATGGTCGCATTAACCCGCGATGGCGGTTGGCCTCGTCAGAAGCCCCGAGATCTGGGAGGGCCATGGGCGGACGCGCGCAGGCGGTGGAATCGCCCTGGGTGTCAGCCTGAAGTGCACTGCCAGCGGCGGTCCCGATCGGGCCGGTTCCGATTGGCACGGCACGGGTTTCTGCCCCCCTCGCGTTGCCCCCTTCGCTGCCAGGGGGGCAGCCACTCGAACCATGCCCGTCGAGTTGTATTCTGCGCACTCCGCGAACATCTGGGCGCCCAAAAGAAAGCTCGCAGCTGCTCTGGCTTGGGCAGCCGTGGCATACCTGTTCGATCGGCGATGCGTCTCCGCCAAACTCCACTGGAGCCTCAAATCTGGCGCGCCCCGCCCCGCGTCGTCGCTGCGTTGGAGGCGCTCGATGAAAGCCGCGGGTTTTGACTGTGCGTTCTCGTCGTGCTGCGAGGCCCCCCACCTATATGGCTCGGTTAGCTTGGGCATCTGCCGCGGCTGCTCGTTGATGCGATCCATCGGTGGATGACCCCTTTGTTGGCCCCCCACAGGTCATGTCGAACCTTGCCCCCCCCTCCTGAACTGCATTCTGGCGCTCCTCATGGGCCTGGACCCAGTGCCATCCTGACTGGCTGGCTCTCGACCCCTGGCCGCCAACGTTCATCGCGTCCGCAGACGGCGCCCACGCAGCCCCTCGAGGTCGCAAATTGGCCCTCGGGACGACGGCGGCAAAAGCCAGCGGGACAGCGCACTCCACTGCATATCGGCGGCGCGCGCACTGCGATGACGCCGCGCCTCGCAACGACACGGGACGCCTGCCCCTGGTCTGCACGCGCCTTCACTTCACAGTGTAGGCCCCCAGCGTGCCGCAACGGAAATGGGATTATCCCCCGTGACAATGACGCATGCCACCGCGTCTGCTAAGGCTCCCCGTACTCCACTGAACGCTCGCGCACGCTGCTCGCCCGTAGGAACCCAACTAAATGGGTAGAGCGTTCGCATTACGTTTTGTTTCTCCTCGAACGACAAGCTCCCGATAGAACCCGATGTTGGTTGCCTTTTTGGTGTCGCGTCCGTTGTGAACATGATACATGCAAACAGCTGCATGCAGGCGTTGGCCCCCGGTCCCGTTTGCCGAGAGGGATCGAGTAGGCCACGCAGCTCCTTTTCGGGCAGTCTGCTGAAATACTGGTCCCCATACCGCCTCGAACTCCCGCCCAGCTCAGGATGAGCTGCCACGGGAAAAGACGAGGGAGGGCCCGGGGTGCCATCCGCCTCCGCCATGGCGAGCTCCCAGAGCGCGCAGAGGAACTCATCCAGGTCGCGGATCGCGCCCGCACTTGGCCGGAAAGCTGTTGGGAACCATCACGTCGTGATGGCAGGGGTCACTGCCTACGTCCAGGCAGTCGTTGCCATTGTGCTGCAGCCATGAGTCATCCAGCTCACAGTGTCCTTGCCCGTCATGTCTCGCCCCCATGCTTAGCCACCTCACGCACCAAGCCACCGATGGGTCGGAGAAACGCCACTCTGGCGTACGGCCGCTCTGACAGTATCGTTTCAAATACCTGGCACGGGCGGGGCGCATCCACAACAGCATGCGATGAACCGTGACCATGTCAAGCCTGGTCATATATTCCCATGGTATTGACAACAGATGTCCAGGGACCGTGTCCATTGTGCTACGAGCGCGAGCGAAGCTCCACCATATTCCGATTGGTCCCTGCACCCTTGCCTCGCGTGCTGCGGTCGCCAGGGAGGAGCTGCCATCATACAACGAGGCCCTCCGATCCACCTCTTCGCACTCCCTGCAGCGTCGTAGTGCCTCAGGGGCACCGTGTAGTGCAGCCTGGGTGAGGCACCAGGCCTCAAACTCATCCTCTGCCACGGAACGCCCGTTTTGGGACCATACACACACATACACACACATACATATACACACACACACACACACACACACACACACACACACGCGCGCGCGCGCGCGCGCGCGCGCGCACATACACTTAGCCTGTCTTCGGACGTCGCGGCCAGGCGCACCGCAATGGCGGCCAGGGCACGCGCGAAAAACCGCACACGCGCACCCCCGTCGGCGAGAAGGGGCAGGGAAAGGACGAGGCGCTCGGCCCCTCACGGGGCAGAGGCCGGGAGCGGCGCGGGGGCGCCGGGGCAGCGAGGCAGCGGGCAGACGCCCGCGAGCGGCGGAGGCGGCCAAAGGGAGCGGGCGGCGGCCGCAGGTCGGGGCGCCGAGGCGGGGCAGGACGGCGGGGCGGCGAGCGGGGGCGGGGCAGCAAGCGGGGCGCCGCGCCCAAGAGCAGGCGGGCACTGCGCGGCGCGCAGGTGGGGCGCCGCGCCAAGGCTTGGCGGGCAGAGCTCGGCCCGCAGCACCGGGACCGGCGGAAGGGGCGGCTGGCAGCCAGGCCTGACCGAGAGGCCAAGCTACCTCCACGCGGACACACACACACACACTCACACACACACACTCACACACACACACACACACACACATTTTGCGTCGGCGGCCGGGCAGAGTGGCTGCGCCGGCGATGAGGCGTTGAAAGTTGAAGGAACGCGAATTCGGCCACCGTGCAGAGGGAGGAGGGAGGATGCGCAACACACAAACACACACACACACACACACGTTTCCTCCGACGCGCCGAAGAATCCGATCAGTGGGCAGTCACGAGGGCGGGCTACGCTCAAAGTCACTCGCTTCTTTGTGAAGCAGCGTGGCTGAACGAGACTCCCAAGCGCGCATTGGCGACACAGCTACACACACACAAATACACTCACACGCGACTACACGCGGGGGCCAAAGGAAATCGAAACGACCTGCAAGCCCCACCCCGCACATGAGAGCCACGATAAAATTACGATACAGTATTTCAGGATCTGCACCCCTAAACAACTATACAACTGGGTAGAGAGGGCCCTCCAGCATGCCCCGTTCAGGAAATGAAGGACCCTGAGCACAGCTATCAGCTCTCCAGGTAAAAGTACATGGAGTTTTCGCGGCTTCAAACGTAGAGAGAATCTCGCGTCGACGAAGAGAAGCAGAAAACAATCCGCCCGATGCGAGGCGCCCGTGGAGGCGCAAAAAGGCTGGCCGTGCTGACCCGCCCTTCCTGTGCCGATCGTGGTCGGGAGATCGGCTGCTGCAGACTTTGAGCCGCCATCTGCCCAGGGTTCCGTTGAGCTGTGAAGGTCTGTGCACTCGCGCGCCTGAACCGTAGATGCTTACTCGCACCAACGCCGATCCTGCACTTTGGGGCACGGCCAGCCGAGGAAGAGCGGGAAAGAAATTATCCCGGCAAAGCAACCTAACAGCGATGTGTAGGAGCATATCTGGAAGCATTCCCCTTAAGATTCAGATGAGAATCCAGTTGTAGAATTCTGCTGTTCTCGCAGTCGTAGTCGCATTCGCGATGACAGTCGCAGTGGCAACGGCAGTCGCAGTCACAGCCTCAGCCTCAGCCTGCCTCAGCCTCAGCCTCAGCCTGCCTCAGCCTCAGCCTGCCTCAGCCTCAGCCTCAGCCTGCTTCAGCCTCAGCCTCAGTCTGCCTTCAGCCTCGGCCTCAGCCTCAGCCTGCCTCAGCCTCAGCCTGCATCAGCCTCAGCCTCAGCCTCAGCCTGCCTCAGCATCAGCCTGCCTCAGCCTCAGCCTCAGCCTCCTCAGCCTCAGCCTCAGCCTGCTTCAGCCTCAGCCTCAGTCTGCCTTCAGCCTCGGCCTCAGCCTCAGCCTGCCTCAGCCTCAGCCTGCCTCAGCCTCAGCATCAGCCTGCCTCAGCATTCAAAATGTGGCCCGGGAATGGAGTTCTGGGAACTCGAAGAACACGAAGTGGCCTACAGTTGGCTCCGGGCATTCAAAATCATGCCCGGGAATGGAGTTCTGGGAACTCGAAGACCACGAAGTGGCCTACAGTTGGCTCCGGGCATCCAAAATGTGGCCCGGGAATGGAGTTCTGGGAACTCGAAGACCACGAAGTGGCCTACAGTTGGCTCCGGGCATCCAAAATGTGGCCCGGGAATGGAGTTCTGGGAAGTCGAAGAGCACGAAGTGGCCTACAGTTGGCTCCGGGCATTCAAAATGTGGCCCGGGAATGGAGTTCTGGGAGCGCCAAGAGCGATTTTGCGAGGATGTCCCAAGCGATTTCGGCTTCGGCGGCAGCCGCCCCGGGTCCCGCCCCGACCCCCCTGAGGAGTCATGATGCTCTCTTTTGACACCACTAGAAACCTATCAGTCTTCGCTTTTAGGTAAAAATGGAGGAGGAGGAGGAGGAGGAAGAGGAGGGAAGAGAACGGAACGAAGGACTGAAAGAACGGTGAAAAATGGCAGCTGCTCAAGCAACCGACGTCGCGACATGTTTCACGACGTGGGTCTCGACTGCTTCCACAGGACCGTCCTCGTCGCGGGTCGTTCTTTGCAGCTACCTGGGCCCGAAGTCAAAACCCTCGGCCTGAAATTGTGGAAAACATCGCAGCCTCATGTTTTCGCGACGCTTGACGTCTGGGCTTGCAGAGGGAACTGCCATATTCCCTACCATCCCGTTCAGAATAGGATCTATGGCTGCTGCCCCAGAATCCGGCCACACAGAAGAGGACGCCGCACAGCGTCCATCCGGACAGCATCATGGCCAGCGTCAGGTCGTTCTCGTACCTGTCTCTGGAATGTTTAGCTCCCAACAACTACCGAGGAGAAGGAGGGGGATGGAGGAGGAGGAGGAGGAGGAGGAGGAGGGTGGAGGGTGAAGAGGGAGGAGAAGGAGGAGGAGGAGGACCAGTGTAACCCCAAGAAAGTCATCAACGATGTTGGAGTGAACCCTCCCTCCAAACTCCCTCTCTATAGGCCGCTACGAAGGTTCATTTCCATTGATGGAACTGCCTCGTTGGAAGACGCCCATTTGAAGACCCTGAAACATGCCAAAACATTATTGTCGGGATTCCAACGCCACGGATCGATCTGATGGTTACGTCTTGACGATCCTGAATCGTGCCAGAACACCATTCCCAGGACTTCAGGACAGAGAATCAACGTAACTGCTGCACCCGCATAATCCTGAATACGTTGATGATGGGAATCCGTGAAACTCTTGGAACTTCTGTAAACGAATGTGCGCGGCGCTAAGACGAGAGCCGCATTTTGAAAAGGAACCGCCATCAATCCGTGAAACCCTTGCAAATGTTTAAAACGAATCTGCGCCGTGCTAGAGGCGAGAGCCACATGTTGAAAACCACTCGCCCTCAATCCGTCAAACGTTTGCAATTGTTTAAACGAATATGCGCCGCGCTAAAACCAAACGACATGTTGAAAACCACCCGCCCTCAATCCGTGAAACTCTTGCAAATGTTTAAAACGAATGCGCGCCGCGCTAAGGCGTGTTGAAAACCAACCCGCCCGCCGCGGTGAGGCGAGAGACACATTTTGAAAACGACCCGCCCTCAATCCGCGAAACGACTGCTAATGTTAAAACGAATCTGCGCCGCGCTAAGGCGAGAGCCACATTTTGAAAACGCCCCGCCCTCCATATGTGAACCTGTTGCCGATGTTTTCGCTTCAGACTTATAAATGGTGAGGAAGTCTCAGGCGAAACGCCCGGCCCGCCAGAAAAAACTGGCCTCGGGGTGCGACAGGGAGAAATTACTGATGAGGAAAAGGAACGCAGGAGGAGGAAAAGGAGGAGGGAGGAGGAGGAGGAGGAGGAGGAGGAGGAGGAGGAGGAGGAGCAATAGGTCCCCTGGCTTCGCGCGGTCGAACGGCTCCCCTGGAATGGCAGCGCTTCGGCCCAGGCCGCGAGGCGCGAAGCGCAGCTGCATTCGCGTCCCCGCGGGCGACCTGGCCTGCACATCACGGTGGTGGAAGGGGGCAGAGAAGCGTTTGGGTCCCGCCCTGGGCGGCAGGGGTTTCGAACGTGCCTCCGTCTTCGCAGCCACACAAACCTACTAGGATAGCCATTGCCTGTGCGTCCAAGTCAAGGACGAGTTCCCAACGCACCAAGCAACTGAATACCAACGCCTTGCATATCGATATGGGCAACCCTTCGTGTGATGGAGAGGTGTGGTGGACATGGCTGCAGCTCTCGGTGTGTGGCTGGCGTCGGATCGGATGCGCGACCCTTCTAGCGATCACGCTACCTAGAAGTATATCAGCCAGCGTGGACCCAAGACAGTGATTGATTGCAATATGCGCGGCGCAATCTAGGTGGTACAGTCAATGTGGTGGAAAGCAGCTGGTGCAATCCATGTGGTGCAGCCATGTAGCGCAAATCAGTGCAAAGCAAAGCAAATCAACGCAAAGCAGTGAAAAGCGCTGCAAAGCAATGCAAAACAAAACAATACAAAGCAATGAATAACTGCAAAGCAATGAAAACAAATACGAAAGCAACGCAAAGCAACTTGAAGCAATGCAGAGCAATGAAGGACATGCAAGGCAATGTAATGACAAGAATTGCAAGGCCATGCAATACAATGCAACGCAACGCAATGCAATGCAATGCGAAACAAAGCAATGCAAAGCACCGCAAAACAAAGCAAAACACTGCAAAGCAACGTAAAGCGATACCTTGCAATGCAAAGCAATGTAATGCGAAAAGAAGAAATGAACAGCAATGCGTATCAATGCGAAGCAATGCGAAGCAAGACGACGCAATGAAAAGCGATGACTTGAGATGCAAAGCAATGCAAAGCAATGCGAAGCAATGCGATGCAATGCAAAACAATGCGAAGCAATGTAACGAAGGCAAAGCAATACAAAGCAATGCCCAGCAATGAACAGCAATGCAACTCAATTCTAAGCAAGGCCAAGCAAGGCAAAGCAAAGCAATGCATAATGCAAATCTATGCTGAGCAATGCAAAGCAATGCGAAGCATGGCGAAGCAATGCAATGCCACGCAAAGTGCGAGCCTCGCACAATCAAAATCGTGACCAAAGACAGCGGCGACAGGCGGCATCAAGCTGGCCGGATCGACAACCAGGCCCAGCTCTTGAGGAGAAATAAAGACTCCAAAAAGCAAGCACTGTTTGCGGAATGCAAAGCAATGAAAAGCAACGCACAGCATTGCAAAGGAGTGCCTTGCAATGCAAAGTAATGCAAAGCGATGCAAAGCTATACAAGGCAATGCAAGGCAATGCGAAGCAATGCAAAGCAATGCAAAGCAATACAAAGTAACGTACGTAGTGCATTCTAGGTTGTGCAATCGATGTGGTGCAGTCTAGGTGGTGCACTCCATGTGCTGCAGTCTATGTGGTGCAGAGCAATGCAAAGCAATGCCAATCAATGCAAAGCAATGCAAAGAAATAAGCAATACGAAGCACTCCAAAGTAAAGCAAAGCAATGCAAGGCATTGCAATGCGACGCAAATACATATCAAGCGATGCAAAACTATACAAAGCAAGGCAAAGCAATACACTGCAACGCAATCAAAATGACCAACGACGGCGGCGAAGGGCCGCGACGGGCAGCCACAAGCCAGCCCGACTGACAACCAGGCCCAGTTCCTCAAAGAGAAATCCGCCGGCCCTTCGACGTGTGGAGGAAGCTGTCGTCGTCGTCAATCCCATGGAAATTGAGCAGCAACACAAAAAGTCTGACTTAGGACGAAGGGAAGCCCCTTCCCTTTATCCCTTCCCTGCGGGGGGGGGGGAGGGAGGGGGGGGCCCTGGCCAGAATACCGCCCCCCGGGGTCCCAGCGGGTCCCAGGCGGTGGTCGCCAGCGGGGGTCCCAGTGGAGGTCCCGCCTTCAGGGTCGGCGGCACCCGCCGTAAGGCCTTCGCAATGAGAACCCCGAAGTGCAAGCACTGCTTGGGGGATGCAAGCGAATGCAAAACATGCAAAGCAATGCAAAGCAGTGCAAAGCAAGGCAAAGCAATGCAGAAGCCGGCGAGACCAACAACCAGGCCCAGCTCCTCCGAAGAGAAATGATAACCCCATATGTGACCGAACGAAAAAAAGGCTTCGTTCGGAAAAAGACGATATCCCCAAGCCCGCCACCGTGCCCCTCCGGCACGAGCTAGAGTGTCCTCTGGTCCTTGGCCTGTTCCCTTAAGCCTGAATCCTCAATCCTGAAAATGATTTCAGGGGCCCAGGCCCAAGATTGCCACATCAGCTGGAACGCGCCGCGTGGCCCCTGGGGCGCGTCGCGTGGACCCCGGGATGTGCCGCGTCCTGTCGCGCGATTTTTTCGGGCCCAAGGGGGCCCCGAAACGGGCTACCCAACAGGCCCCCAGGACGGTCTCGGAGGGCCCCGAGTCTCCGAAAGATCGCTCCAAGACGCCCAAGACAGCGTCAGGACTGCCCTAGATGCCCCCAAGACGACCCCAGAGGCTCACGAGAGGCCTCCCAAGAGTCCCCAGGATCGCCCCGAGACTGCCCAATAGGACTCCAGGAGGGCCCCAAAACAGCCCCACGGGGGCCCCAAGACAGCACAAGAGGCCAAAGGGGGCCCCAAGACGACCCACGACACCCCACGACGGAGAGCCCTCGATCTCGAAAGGCCCTCAGGAGGTCACGAGAAGCCCACACGAGGCCCCAATGAGGCCCGAAGGGGCCCCAAAGAGGCCCCCAGGAGGCCCCTAAGAGGCCCCCAAGAGGCTCTCAAGAGGCTCAAGGAGCCCCAAAACTGTCCCAACAAGCCCCAAAACTGTCACCAAGAGGCCCCCGAGAACGCTCCGAAGAGACCCCAAGAAGCATCCCTGAGGACTCTGACCCGCAATCCAGGCACGGTGGCGGGATGGGCCGAAGGCCATTAGATATCGGTCTCGCTATCTACCCATCGATTACACTACCAGAATAAGTCCAAGAGACATCACGCTCCAAGAGGTCTCGAAGAGGACCCCCGAGGGAGCCGCAAGAGGCCAAAGTTACAATATCCTAGTCGAGTTTCGAGTAGGGTTCGCAAAGGATCCAGGATCTCTCCCAGGGGGGTCCTGGGAGCTTTCCCGGACGCTTCCCCAGACCCTGCCGTCGCTGGATTGTCATTGAGAAGAACGATGATGTGTGAGAGAAACATCTCGAACAGGAGCCTCGTCTTCCAGTTGCTTTTCTTTGCGAGCCAATCGCAGGACCTTCTCAGGACCTTCAGGATCTTCTCAGGAGTCTCTTGAATCTCAAGAGGCTCTCCGCAGCCTCTCAGGAGCTTCTCGGGTCCCTCTCAGGAGCATTTCATCATCCTGCTATCGTAAGGGCTGGGTGCTTTGCTGGAATCGTGCTCCGCACGGTCTTGAAAGATTTGGGGAGTATCGCGCCTTCAAGCTTGACGGACTGCCCAGAAGGGCCCCCAAGGTGATCCAAGAGGCCCAAGACGGCCGACGAGGACCCAAAATTGCAACGCACGAATCGCACACTCAGATGCTTTCCCCACGCTCTCGGAAAGCATGCACACTCCACTCTGGTAATAGCAATCCGCCGCCCTGCTTTGGTCACGGAGCGGAGTGCCCTCAGGCTCACGTGGTTCGGGGTGGTAGAAGGACAAGATCACAAGCTTCTCCAGATCTGGGACCCCGATTGGTCAGAACTCTTGAGCGCTACTGAGGCATGGCGCCTTCACTGCCGAAAAACATGTCTGAAGGGGCCCTGGAATACACAAACAAATAGACACAAACAACACGACTCCCCACATTTTCCAATATGCTCTGGGCTCTTGTCTTCCCCCCACTTCCCACTCATTTCCGCATTTCTTCTGGGGAATCGACGATCCACTGTGCCTGCGTGTTCTTGTCACCTCCCGACTGCTGCTTCCACAGCCTCGGCCCCGGAGGCCGCTCTAGGGCCGGGCGCCCAGGGCCGCCCGCCATCCCCCCCACGACGGCCCCCAGGACTGCCCCCGCAGCCCCCGAGCCCCCCGAGGAGGCCCCCCGTAGCCAGGGCCGTCCAGAGAGACCCCCCCCTTGGGGGCCCGAAGGACACCCCCCGAGACGCCCCGGGGGCCCGAGAAAATCCCCGGGCGCCCAGGGCCGCCAACCCCCCCAAGAAGGCCCCCACGACTGCCCCCGAGGCCTCGAGCCCTCACGGCGGCCCCCCGGAGCGAAGCCAGGCAAAGAGAGCCCCCGAAGCGCATCCAGGCAAAGAGAGCCCCAAGACTACCCCCCAAGAACCCCAGAGCCATCCAGAGAACCCCAAGACTACCCCCGAAGCCTCGAGCCCTCACGGCGGCCCCCCGGAGCCGGAGCCATCCAGAGAACCCCCGGAAGCGAAACCGAGCAAAGAGAATGTTGGAGTAGTGCACGCTCCCCTAGGGGCCCGAAGAAGATCCCCAGAGACACTGGGGACCCAATGAAGCCCTTGGAAGCCCTCAAGGCACGATGGCGAGATGGGCTGCACGACACCAGAGAAGGCCAGCAGGCTATGCCAGGCCCTGAAGCGTACTTGGCTTACACGCTTGCAGCTTGAGGGTCGACAGCGCCACCACGGCAGCACTCCAAATACGAGCCATCTTCTCCACAACAGGGAAGAAGCACACCTGAGAAGGTACCTCAAGGTATGAACCCTTTACAGGAAGGCCAGATCTCCGAAACGCTGGCCCGAAGGATATCTGCAGCCAGGCGAACCTCAGCGGGGCTGCCCGAAGCCCCAGCGTCGACTGGACCCGCGGTGGCAGGGCTCACAAGCGGTCGCAGAAGAACAGCTCACAAGCGAGGAGCAGCAGAAGGGCACCAGATCGCGAAATTCGACGACTTGCCGACGACATCGTTGAAAACCTGGCCGCACACAAAGGCGCTGCTTGGGCGCGCGCGCAGCGCGTCCAGCTGCACAGCGTGGAAACGATGGCATTCCGTCGTGCCGCAGGTCGGTGCCTCCAATGCCAGAGACAATATACCCAATCCTTCCCTTCACCTTCCTCCTGCAGTATTCTCCAGACTGATGGCTCACATCATAAAAGTCACCGTGAGCACCACCGCCGCCGCGGCCGTAACCATCATCATCATCAGCATCATCATCAGCATCATCATCATCACCATCATCATCATCATCATCATCATCATCATCAGCATCATCATCATCGTCGTCGTCATCGTCATCGTCATCGTCATCATCATCATCAGCATCATCATCAGCAGCAGCATCATCACTATCATCTCATCATCGTCATCATCATAATAATAATAATCATCATCATCATCAGCAGAAGCAGCAGCCAGCATTGTCAGCATCATCATCATCAGCATCATCATCCTCAGTGTCAGCAGCATCATCATCATCATCACCATCATCATCACTGTCATCATCATCACCAACGACATTATCATCATCATCATCATCATCGCCATCATCCTCATCATCATCATCATCATCATCAGCATCATCATCCTCAGTGTCAGCAGCATCATCATCATCATCACCATCATCATCACTGTCATCATCATCACCAACGACATTATCATCATCATCATCATCATCGCCATCATCCTCATCATCATCATCATCATCATCAGCATCATCATCATCATCATCAGCATCATCAGCAGCTGCATCGCTATCATCATCAACAACATTAGCATCATCATCATCATCAGCATCAGAATCAGCATCATCAGCATCATCATCATCATCATCATCATCATCATCATCATTGTCATCATCAGCGTCATCATCGCCATCATCGTCATCGTCATCAGCATCGACAGTATCATCGTCATCATCATCATCATCGTCATCGTCATCGTCATCGTCGTCGTCATCCTCAGCATCATCAACATCATCATCAACATCATCATCGTCATCATCCTCATGATCATCAGCACAATCATCATCTTCAATATCGTCATTGGCATCAGTACCTCCACCATGATCATAATCATCATCATCATCATCAGCAGCATCATCATCATCATAAGTATCATCATCGTCATCAGCATCATCATCAGCATCAGTATCATGATCGTCAGCAGCGTCATCACCGCATAGCACCATCAGCAACAACATTACCAGCATTATCAACATCAGTATCATCATAATCACCATCCCCATCATAGTCAACATCAGCAGCAATATCAACATCAGCATCATCATCGGCAGCACCATCATCTCATCAGCAGCATCAGCACCAGCATCAGCATCAGCATGATCACCAGCATGATCCTCATATGGCACCATCGCCAGAAAGAACCCCAACAACAACAATAACAACATCAGCATCATCAACATTGGCATCCTCATCAGCAGCATCATCCTTCCTTTTCATCATCGCCATCATCTTCATCATCATCCTCATCATCATCATCATCATCATCATCATCATCATCATCATCACAATGATCAGCATCATCATCAGCAGCAGCAGCATCATCATCAGCCTCATCAGCAGCAGCATCATCATCATCATCGTCATCGTCACCATGATCATCGTAATCATCGTAATCATCATCATCATCATCATCATCATCAGCAGCAGCAGCATCATTATCACTAGCCTCGTCATCATGAGCATCATCATCATCAGCATCTTTAGCATCAGCATCATCACCATCATCATCATCATCATCATCCTCATCATCATCGTGTATGTGAACCCTCTTACCGGGGCCCGTGTGGTGCCCCTTACGAGTGGGAACCCTCATGAGGGATGACACGGAATGCAAACGCAACGACTGCGGCTTGGCTGGCGCTCCCAAGACTGACAGGAAAGCTAGCAAGGGACGGCCCCACAGGGCCTGGGCACGCTGTGCAAACGCACACAACGAGGCCTGGTCGAAAACACCCAGAGAGTGCGGCACGTCGCGAGGGGCAACCACACACGTCAGGCCGCAGCGTGCAAACGCAGTGACTGGGGTCCAGCTCGGGTCCCATGATGCGTGCGGGTCCCTCGTGAGGGGTGATCCTGGACAGCCTGGCCGCATGATGCGAACGAACTCACCGAGGTCTGCTTGGGGCTGCGAGGCAAGAGTCCTCGTGGTAGGTGGTCCAGTGCGGCCCGGCCACACGGAGCAAACTCACTCACCGGGGCCTGCATGGGGACAGGGATCCTCGACGGGGGGGGCCAAAAATGGTCACAGCAATGTGCGAACGAATTCACCGGAGACTGGACAGGACTGATGGGAATGGAACTCTCGTGAGGGTGGCCAGGGACAGCTCAGGCACAGTATACAAATATACGCACTGGGGCTTAGTCCCCGTGGGGATCAGGAGTCTCGTGAGGGATGGCCCATGACGGTCCGACAACACACGCACTGGAGCCGAAGTGTGGCCCCCTCTGCAGGTAGGAATCGTCGAAAGGAAACGAAGACCCCTAAAGACTTCGAGACGGTTGGGAGTACTCCAAAAATGAAAATGGCTCATCCACGTGAAGAGAACTTGTCCTCGCTACAGCTGCAGCAGGATCCCCGAAACATGAAACAATGCAGAGAAAGCCTGTTGGCCATGCGCCCCGAAGCATGAGCACGTGACTGATCGCACCATGCTGCTTTTACAGCACCACATGCCCTACGGGCACCGCGAGGAGCACGGCGACGTTGACTGCGAGGTGCGAGAAGGTGATCACCTGCAAATGGCACCAGGGCAGCACTGGCATGGGCAGCCAGCGACGCCCCTCACACCCCCCCCTCCCCGTCCTCTCCACGGGCGGCCGGACCCCTGGGAAGGAGGAGCAAGCGACACGACCCGACTCCACCTTGGAGCGCACACGCTCCCTTTGGAACGACGCTGCCCGACGATCGAAACCTAGCTGCTTACTCCAAATCCGCCGACCCCTTGGGGTCACGGCGTGTGAGATGCTTCCCCCTCCCCAAACCCCTCCCCCGGAGGCCCGGTCCGGCCGGCTTGGAGGAGGGGGGGGGGGGGGCAAAGGTCCTGGCCGCACACTTGGAGCCTCAGGAGGCCACAAAACGGGCCAAAAGGTATAAAAGGGTCCCGAAACGGTCCGACGAAAGATCGTTCCAAATCGCCACAGATTGCCTCCAGACGGCCCCATCAGCCCCCAAGACTCTTGAAAAAGTACTACGAGGCGCCCCACGAAGGCCCTCCAGAAGCAAGAATCGTCCCATTCCCGATGGAAAACGTACATTTTCAGCACATTCGCCTTTTGGGCTTCCACGCGGCCCACAACGGCCCAAGAAGCCTTCAAGATCGACCCTCCGCAGCCCAAGAGACACCCAAAAAGGCTCCACGACTGCTTTCAGGCGATCCACAAAGGCTCCAACAACCATAGCAACGGCCCTGAAGAGCTGCAGGACGGTCCCAAGAGGGCTCCAAAACGGGCAAACAGGGTCCCCAAACGCTCCCCAAACAACCCACGCGGGGGACGATTCGGTCCAAACCGCCCAAGATTGCCTCCAGACGGCCCCATAGGCCCCCAAGACGTTTGAAAACGCGTCCACGAGGCGCTCCAAGAGGGCCTCAAGTCAAGTCAAGTCAAGTCAAGTACGCCTTGCACCAGACGGTGCGTGAGCAGGGGTGAAACGTATAGGAAATAATCACCAAATGCAGCCAGAATGCGTTCAGCTTCCGGCCCAAGCCTTCACCGCGCGCTTCCACGCTCTAACTCGAGCTGCACCACCGTCTTGGTGGAAGTAGGCAGCAAGGTAGGTAGCAACCTTGAGACAATTATTCCAATTATTCCAAGAGGGCCTCCAAAAGCAAAAATCGCCCCATTAACTCAGGAAAACATGCAGTTTCAGTCCACTCGCCTCTTGGGCTCCCACGAGGCCTACAACGGCACAGGAAACCTCCAAGTTCGACCCACGACACCCCAAAGAGGCTCTCAAAAAGGCTCCACGACGGCTTCCGAGCGCACCACGAAGGCCTCAGAAACTACAGCGAAGGCCCAGGACAGTCGCAGAACGGTCCCACGAGAGCCTCACAGCGGGCCAAGGGGGTCCCCAAAGGCCTTCTGGACGGCCCACGAGGGAGACGATTCGGTCGAAACCGCCCCAGCTTGCCTGCAGACGATTCCCCATAGGCCCCCGAGACGTTTGAAGCTACTACGAGGCGTTCCACGAACGCCTCCAGAAGCCCGATGGAAACCGTACATTTTCAGCACGTTCGCCTCTTGGGCTTCCACGAGGCCTGCAACGGCCCAAGAAGCATCCAACATCGACCCCCTGCAGCCCCAGAGGCTTTCAAGAGGGTTCCAAGACGGCCTCTGGGCGCCCCGCGAAGGCCCCAGCAACCATAGCAACGGCCCTGGAGAACCGCAGGACGGTCCCAAGAGGGCCCCAGGACGGGCCAAGAGGGTTCTTCAAAGGCCCCCTGGTCGGCCCAAGTCGTTCAACAGTGCCCCAAGTCGTCCAACATTGTCTCCCGACAGCCCTACAGGCCCCCAAGACGCCTCAAGACGCTACACAGAGGCGCCCCAAGAGGCCTTCCAGAAGCAACAACCGTCCCATTTCTGGTGGAAAGCACATATTTTCAACACGTTCGCCTCTTGGCCTTTCATGCGGCCCCTAAGACCCCTTGCAACTACTACTACTACTACTACTACTACTACTGCTACTACTACTACTTCTACTACTACTACTACTACTACTACTACTACTACTACTACTACGACTACTACTACTACTACTACTACTACTACTACTACTACTACGACTACGACTACTACTACGACTACGACTACGACTACGACTACGACCTACGACTACGACTACGACTACGACTACGACTACGACTACGACTACGACTACGACTACGACTACGACTACGACTACGACTACGACT